CTCCCTCCCCTCCTCCTCCCCCTCTCTCACTTTCTCTCTCTCCCCCCTAGTCGTATGAGACAGGTTTTCCCCCTACAAATCACATATCACTCTTTATAAGAGAATATTCACAGTCAAATGGTTTCTTCAGTCTTTAGCTCCATTTTTACTCAAAATTAAGCCACATATTACCTTGCTTCTGTTTTCACTCTGACTTTTTGTGCAATTATTTGTTTTTCCTTCTGTGGTGCAATTTTGATCCCTTACTGTGTCCCCCAAGAAGCAAGCCTCATCATTTGTTGGCTTTAGGCTTTTATTTTGTCCTGTTGAGTGTAATTTCTATATATAGTTGAGATTCTAGATGTGTCCAAGAATGTAAATTGGGCCTCTCTAGGTTTTCCTGTACACACAGGCTTAGTTTGAGATTTTCTTGTAGGCTGTCCTTGCAGTTTTTCTTTTGATATGATAATGCTATTGATTGGACTAATGCTTTCTTTTACATTTGGTTATACTTTGATTAGATTTCCTGGGCTTTTCTTTCTACTTTGATTTTTAAAATACTCTGCACTTAATCTCATCCATTATGTGTGGATTAAATTAAATTTAACTCCCTTGGACATTTCTTCTGAATTCCAGTAGCTCCCCAGGTATTATTGACCCTAAGTACCAGGTGTTCTGAGCAGTCCTTTTTTGTGCTCTTTTCCTCTGTCTTTGGTCCACTGTAATTGATTCGGAAGGGCAAAAGTAAACTCTGTACCAGATTGTACCCCAGGTGATGGCAGATCAGTCCAAGAAAGAGACTTTCGTTGTAACATTGTTATCATGATATTATTTGAGGGAATTATTTTTTTGAGAAAATAAAGTGTTGACTGATTTGTTGAATACCCCTAGCTCGGGCAGGCTAGAAAGGTAAGTAAGGCTTTTTATTCAGTTCATTGCATAGGTACTGTCATCTTACTTCTCAGTGATTCATAAGTATCCCTGTCAGCTCCATCTAGGTCCCTACCCACTGCAGTGCTGGCCAGTGCTGGGCATGGAACCCATTCATACTGGTGAAACACTGAGATATGCCCTACTCATTGGCCTGTGTTTTATGTACTGTCAAGAAATTGTAGGGGCTGGGGATTTAGCTCAGTGGTTCCACCGCATGCCTCGGAAGCAAGCAAGGGCCTGAGTTCCATACCCCGCACCAAAAAAAAAAGAAAGAAAGAAAGAAAGAAAGAGAGAGAGAGAGAGAGAGAGAGAAAAAAAAAAAAGGAAGGAAGGAAGGAAGAAAGAAAGAAAGAAAGAAAGAAAGAAATTATGGTAGAGGCATTGGTTTCCTAGTTCTTTATGCCTAAAAGAAATGTATTTCAGTTGCTGGAGTTAATACAGTATAGGGCTTTGTAGTAAAAATGTCTTGCACATAATTAAGGAAACCATATCCTCAGAGATGGATGTCTAATTTAAAGATGAAATTGAGGCTCAGTGCCTGTGAGACTAGTCTGATAATAATAATGAATCAGAAAGAATGGAATCACAAAGTCCCATGGATTCTGACATCATTATAATTAATATGCTGGGCACTGTATTCTTGTCTTTATCTGGATCATTTAATTTAATCCTTACATCATCCTTTTGAGGATAGATAATGTCTTTTTTTTTTCCACTTTAAAAAAAAATGACAGAATTGAGGCTTAGAGGTTATTAACTAACTTGCATAGGAGTTCTGGAAATCCTGTCTGCTGTTTTTAAAAATGTACATTGTCTACTATATTTTCACCTATTAGCAATTCTCATCAGTTTTGCTAGCCAGAGAATCAGACTCCTTATGGATGAAAGCTAAAGTGCTTCACTAAGAGGAGTGGAATGTGAGATCTCTAGCAGTATGTGCATGTCAGTCATATCTGGCTTTAGACAACCTGCTTAATTTGTGATTTTATGAAAGCAACATTTACAAGTATCTCACTCAGGCTCAGGAAAGCTAGAAGTACCTTTATCTTTGCATTTTAGAGTGTGCAGAATACAAATGGTTAGAAAGACTGGAGAGTGAGGTGGGTGAGGGAGGTGGAAAGAGATGAGGCACTAGGCAAAAATGACAAGCTTGTGAGGCAGGCATTCCTATTGATTTATGCTGTGAGCTCCATTCTGGAGCAAAGAATTGAAATCCATTATGACAAGTGCACAGCGTACAAATCCCTTTGAAAAGCAGTTAGATGCCATCTAATCCCTAATCATTTAAAAACAATTTTGAAGTACCCAGCATTCTAAAATGCCCTAAGCAATTTGCCTCTTAGCCTAGAAGAATAGTGAAATGATGGAAAAATAGCATTTTACTGGTATTTTCCTCTCATGTGTTTTTAATTGTGTGATGTGGTATGTTAAATTACATTTAAAATAAGTAAATATCTGGGGGCTATGATATATCTCTTGGTTATTCTAAAACTCACACCCAAACATAGGATATGGAAGAAATAGGGCAGTTTGTCAGGTACCTTTGTTTAAAAATTTTTTTTCTTAAAAATGTGCACCAATTTCAGACTTTTAGAAAAATTGCAAGAATAATACAAAATTCTCATGTACTTTTAAATTTCCAAATGTTAACATTTTACCTTGTTTTCTTTCCCCTTTAAAAATCTCTATTAGATACATCATCTTTTACCAAAAACCTTTTTAAAAACTTGGTGTGGAGAAAGGAGAGTATTCGTTTTTTTTATGAAAGGAGTTTGCCACACAGAGACACTGGGCTTGGGAGATGACCTCAAGCAGGAAAGTAAGTTTATATGATAGTGGAGTGGTTCCTCATGTTTTTGGATTTGTGGCACCTTATGGTTGTTTTATTCTGTAGTTAAAATGAATTTTATTTTGAAATACAGAATTTTCCTTGAGCTAATTGAATAAGCCCAAAGTAAATAATTACTGGGTTAGAAGAATGAGTTGTCATATTTATAATGGTTTAAGAGTGAAAAGAGATGATTAAAAGGTAGCGCAAGAGAGAAAGATTGGAAATTGCACAGGAATATAAAACAGGATCAAAAGTCTCAAATTAAAGCAAGAATTTGGTAATCTACATGGAAACAGTTGACCTGAAAAAGAAATTCAGCAAGGTGGGGCTTAAGGAAGCAGTTACTCAGCAGTATAAAGGGTTTTAGAAATCCTCAAAATGGAAAATGAGACTTTTACACAATAGAACAGAGTAAAAAATAAGACCTTTGCATAGACAGTTATTTTTTTCCATATAGCCATAAAAAGTCTATTTCTATATCTATATGGTTACCATTTCTTTTGATAAACTCTAGATATGCATTGTTGTCTATTATTATAATCAAATTTCAGATTTTTGTATGTATTTGTGAGGGTTTATACAAGTAGAGAAATTAATGTACAAGGTAAACACTCAACTTTTCAGTGTAGATCAAAATTTAAAATACACATGTCCTTTAAAGCCAAGATTTTTACATTCAAAAATTTATTCTTATAACAATTATCAAGTACTTGGGTACTGGGGATCGTGAAATTTTTAATAAACATAATCAGGGCTAGTTTTATTCTTTAGGATTAGTCACTTATTCTTTGTATGGAAGTTATGCTGCTGTAAGGGATTTTTTTCTTTAATTGCAAGTTGTGACAAAGTGTAGATAACAATTTTACTGTCTTAGCCATTTTAAAGCATATAGTTCAGTCATATTAACTACATTTATGTTATACATGGGGTCTCTGGAACTCTTTGTATTACAAAACAGAAACTTTATCCATTAAACATTCCCTCTTTGCCTTTCTCCTTAGCCTCAGGCAACTACTTTTCTTTCTGCAGCTATGATTTTGACTATACCCATTACCTTATATAAGTGGAGTCATATGGTATTTCTCATTATGACTGACTTATTTCACTGAGCAAAATACTCTTTAAGGCTCATTCATGTTATAGCATGTGCTAGAATTTCCTTTTTTAAAAACTAACTTCAGGGACTGGGATGTAGCTGAGTGGTGCCACACCTGCCTGGCAAGTGCAAGGTCCTGAGTTTGAGCTCTGATACGAAAAAAACAAAACAAAACAAAACAAAAAACTAGTTTCAAATAGACTGTATTTTAGAGCTGTTTCCAGTTATAGAAAAATTGAATGAATGATACAGAAATTTCTCATATGCCCCCTACTCTCTTATATACACACTGCCTCCCCCACCATCAACATCCTACACCAGAATAGTACATTTGTTCTAATAGATGAGTCTACATTCTCACATCATTCTCACCCAAAGCCAGTAGTTCAAATAAGGGTTCACTTTTTTGGTGGGGGGTATGTGTTGGGGATCCAACTTGGGACATTGCACTTGCAAGGCAGGCAGCAGAACCACTGATCCCTGGTCCTAGGATTCACTCTTGATGTTACGCATTCTGTGTATTTGGACAAATGTGTAATGTCACAGATTCACCATTATAATATTGTACATAGTAATTTCATTGCCCTGAAAATCCTGTGCCTTCTATTCATCCCTCTTTTCCCTCCAGTTCCTGTAAATCTCTGACCCTTTCACTGTCTCCATAGTTTTGCCTTTTCTAGGTCACATACTTGAGAATTTTTTTTTTTTTTTGGTATGGGGGATTGAACTCAGGTCCTTGTGCTTGCAAGGCAGGCAGTGGACCACTGAGCTAAATCCCCAGCCCTTCTTGAAATCATATAGTATATAACCTTTTCAAATTTGCTTCTTTTACCTAGTAATTCATTTAAAAGATTCTATATATTTTAATGGCTTTTAGGTCATTTCTTTTTAGTGCTGAGTAATATTTCATTGTCTGAATGAACAACATTTTTGCATCTGTCCACTTACTGAAAGACATCGCAGTCACTTCCAAGTTTTAGCAGTTGCAAATAAAGGTCTAAAAACATGAGTAAAAAAAAAAATTGAAAAAAACAAAGCCGGGCATGGTGGCGCATACCTATAATCCCAGCACTCGGGAGCTGAGGCAGGAGGATCGCTGTGAGTTTGAGACCAGCCTGGGCTACTCAGTGAGACTCTGTCTATAAATCAATCAATCAATCAATCGATCACAAACAAACAAAACCACCAGTGTGGGGCTGGGGATTTAGCTCAGTGGTGCTGCCACCTGCCTCACAAGTGCAAGGGCCTGATTTTGATCCCCAGTACAAAAAAAAAAGAAGTTTGATTATAAAAACACCAGTGTACACATTTTCATATAGACTTGAAATTTTTAATTCTCGGGGTAAATACCAATGATAGTAATTGGGGATCATATTTTAAAAGTATACTCTGCTTTGTAAGAAATTGCCAAATTGTCTTTGAAAGTGACTGTGCAGTGAGTGAGAGTACCTATTACACGTTTATAACAGCATTTGGTATTGCCAGTGCTTTGAGTTTTACCCATTCCTATAGGGTATAGTGATGTCTTCCTTTGGTTTTAATTTGCAGTTTACAAATGGCATATGACCAACATTTTTTCATGTGTTTATTTACATCAGTGTACCTTTTTTGGTGAGATACCTCTTCAGGTCTTTTGTCCATTTTAAAATTGGGTTGGCCATTTTCTTATTGTTGAGTTTTAAGAATTCTTTATTTTGGATATCAGTCCTTTACTAGACATTTCTTTTTGTTGATATTTTCCCCCAGTCTGTGGGTTTGTCTTTGCATTCTCTTGATATTATCTTTCACAGAGCAAAAGTCTTTATTTTAATAAAGTCCAGCTTATTAATTTTTTAATGTATCTTGACTTTGGCATTGTATTTTAAAAGTCATTGCTAGATTTTCTAGGTTGTCTAGATTTTCTCACGTGTTATCTCCTGGGATTTTTACTGTTTTGAACTTTGTACTTGGCTGTATCATCCATTTTGAGTTTATTTTTGTGAAGACTGTAGGATCTGACCAGGCACAGTTGTGTGTTCCTGTGTAATAATCTCAGTTACTGAGAGGCTGAGACAGGAGGATCCTTTAAGTCTAGGAATTCAAGGCCAGCCTGGGCAAAATGCCAAGAGTGCACCCCACCCCCGGCCAAAGGTCTGTGTATTAGCCTTTTCCTGCCACTGGGACAAAATGTTCAACACCTGAAAATTAAAAGAAGAGGTTTATTTAACTCATAGTTTCAGAGAGTTCAGTCCATAGTCAACTAGCTCCAAGGCAGAAATAGCATGGTGGAAGGGCATGGCAGAAGAAAGCTGCTCAATACATCACAGCTAGGAAGAAGAGAAAGAGCTAGAGATAGATATATCTCTTCTAAAAGCATGCCCTTCCATGATGCACCTCCAGTCGGGCCTGCTAAGAACTCATCAGTGGATTAACCCACTGATAAGTACAGCATCCCCATGATCCTGTCACTTTCCTGAAGCCCCACCTCTGAACACACAAGACTTTAGGTGTACATTTTTTAACTAAATCTTAGCAGTATGTAGCTAGATTCTTTTTTTTTTTTTTTTTTAATTTGTGGATGTACTTTTGTTCTGGCACACATTTTTTAAAAGACTTTATCTGCTAAGCCTTTGTATTGATTTTGTTCTTTTGTCATAAATCAATTGACTATATTTATAGGGGTCTATTTATGTCGTCTCTGTTCTGTTACATTGACCTAATTATTTTGTCCATACTGTACGGTCCTGATTACTGTAGGTTTATATAGTAAGTCTTGGAATCAGATAGTGTCAGTCCTCTTACTTTGTTCTTCAGTATACTCTTGGCTATTTTGGATCTGTTGCCTCTCCTCTCTCATACACATTATTCTCAGTTTGTTGATAATGGCAAGATAATTTTATTGAGATTTTCATTGAGATTACGTTGAATCTAGAGATGAAAGAACTGATGTATTGACAGTATTTAGTCTTCCTTTCCACAGACATAGACTATTTATTTAGTTCTTTGATTTTTTAATCAGAGTTTTATAATTTACCTCATGGATTTTATTCATATTTTATTAATAATTATACCTTAGTATTTAACTTTTTGGGGGGGCTGATGTAAATAGTGTCATATTTTGATTTTTAAACTCTGTTTCTCATTGCTGATACACAGGAAGATACTGACTTTTGTATATTTATCTTGTATCTTGCAACTTAGTTCTAATTGCTTTTGGTTACAGGAATTCTTTGTTGATTGTTTTAGATTTTTTTTTATATAGGCACTCATATCATCTATTTCCAAAGACAGTTCTGTTTCTTCTTTCCCAATCAGGATGCCCTTTATTTCTTTTCTTTCTTTCTGTCTTTTTTTTTAATCCTCCTGCACTAGCTAGAACTTCCAGTTCAGTGCTAAAGAAGTGGTGAGAGGAAACATCCTTGTCTTGTTCCTGATTTTCATGGGAAGTGTCTAATTTCTCACCATTATTACAATGTTAGGTGTAGGTTTTTTGTAGATGTTCTTTGTCAAGTTAAAGACGTTCCCCTTTATTCCTAATTTGCATTCTTTTCCTTTTTAAGGCTGAATAATACATGGTATATATGTACCACATTTTGTTTCCCATTCACCCATTGATGGACACTTGGGTTGCTTCCACCTTTTGGCTATTGTGAATAGTGCTGCTATGAACATGGGTATACAGATATCTCTTTGAGATCCTGCTTTCAGTTCTTCTGGGTAAGTACCAGAAGTGGAATTGATAGATCATATGATAGTTTTATTTTAAAGTTTTTGAGGGGTCACTGTGCACAACTTTTTATACAAAAATGTTCACTGCGCTGATGTTTTTAATAGCATATTGGAAGCAGCCTTCATCAGTAGGTGATTGGTTACATAAATCATGATATATCCATATAATGAATTTTCTATAGCTATTTTAAAAGGACATGGTAGATGTGTCCACTTCAACATGTCAAAAATGTCCAGATGTAATATAACAAAGGCAAACAATATATTTGATTCAAACCTGTGCTCCATTTTTTTCAAGAATAATGAACTTTTAGAGAAGGGAAGGAACTTACAAGTATGATAGATAGGAAAGCAAACTTTTAACTTGCTGCTTTACAAATTATTGCATCATTTTAGGGTTTGCAAGAAGCGCAGTTTTGTAAATGGAAAAATTACTTGAATAATTGTATTTTGGGATAAAAACATTTAGCTCCCATTTGTCTTTGAAATACAAAGAAAGTGTTAAATAGTTATTTACTAAGTGTTTTATCTCTACAATGTCACATTCTAATCCCTGGATACTTTAAATATCTTTCACTGTTATATTTAAATATCTTTTTATTGTTATATGTATCAGGGGGATTTATTGTTCTGTGACTGCACAGGAGCGAATTTCCATCAAAATGATTTTTCACATCAGGAAAATGTTCCATCGTTTTTATGTCATATTTGAATGATGTTTTCTATTTTCTGTGCCTGGGTGTGGTGAGATAAGTGGTAAAATCAGGGGCTTGTCAAAATTTGTCTGCTGTTGAAGCAAGTACCACTTAGTTTAACTTTGTGTTACATTACATACTGAGTCCTCTTCTTTTCTTTTTTTTCCTGGCAGTGGATCTTCATGGAGGAACACGGAGTAACCCAGACTGAACACATGGCGACCATAGAAGCCCATGCAGTGGCCCAGCAGGTACAGCAAGTCCATGTGGCCACTTACACTGAGCACAGCATGCTGAGTGCTGATGAAGACTCCCCTTCCTCCCCCGAGGACACCTCCTATGATGATTCAGATATACTAAACTCCACTGCAGCCGATGAGGTGACAGCCCATCTGGCTGCTGCAGGTAATGCTTGGATTGGAAGTTGTTATTGTTATTGGTTGTTGTTGTTCTTGCTTTGCTTGCGCTGCCATGCTAACTGAAAGAGCTTAGGATTCAGACTCTCATGTTTATCTTCATGACTTTTTTTTTTAAGTGTTAGAGATCAAACTCAGGGCCTCTGGCATGCCCTTATCACTACATCCTCAGCCCCTGAAAAAAAAAATTTTTTTTTTTGGTGTGGGGGATCGAACTTGGGACCTTGCACTTGTGAGGCAGGCAGTGGCACCACCACGCTAAATCTCTTGCCCCCTCAAAATTTTTTGTTACATTTCTGACTTAAGGAGCCTAAATTATGCTGAAGTTTGAATTCTATATTTACTGTTAGTGTTATGGTTTGGTTTGATTTTCTTATCCATTTTGACAGTCTTTTGGCTTTGTTGTTGTTGTTTTGAGACAGGGTGTCTCACTGTGAACTGGCCTTGAAATCATTCTGTAGCGCAGGCTAGCCTCAAAGCAATCTTCCTGCCTCAGTCTCCTAAGTGCTGGCGTTATAGGTATGCACCGCCACACCCAGTCATTTAAGCTTCATTTTATGTAGTTTCTTCTTCTAATTTATTAATTTTCCCCTTAGTTGTCTAAGATGCTTTAAAATATACCCATTGTATTTCTAATTTCAATAATTGTTAATAGTTTTGGTTGGTGTTTTTTTTTTTTCTCCCTAGATTTAGGATTGGGGGGTGGAACCCAGGGCCCTTGTGCATGCTAGAAAAGTACTTTCCCACTGAGCTACAACCCAAGCCCTAGAATTTCTAGTATGGTTTTATTTTCCTCCAGAAAATACTGTTAACACTTCCCAGTTGCATAGTGAAATAAAAAGCTTTTCAAAATTCTCCATGAGTACAATTAACATGATTTTACTGATAACTCAACTTTAAACTTTTTCTCCTCTCTTGCTATTACTCTCTCTCTCTTTTTTTATTGTACTTGGGATTGAACCTAGGGCCTTTGCACTGAGCTATAATCCCAGTCTTGAGTGGGTAGGGGGACTACTGGGAGATTTAACCCAGGTTTTTCTACCTCCACTCCCCCAACCCTTTTCTTTTGAGACAAGGTTTCCCTAAACTGCCCAGGTGGAGTCAGTCTTGTGATTCTCCTTCTTCAGCCTCTCAGAGTGCTGAAATTACAGGGCAAGCAACTGCACCTGGCTCCCAGGCCTGTTTTAAAATTTGAGGTGAGTTCTTGTTAAGTTGCTAAATTGCCCAGGCTGGGTTTGAACTTGCAGTACTCCTGCCTCAGTCTCCCAGAGTGCTGGGATCATAGGTATGAATCTCCATATTGGTTATATTTAAATAAATGTGCTAGGAAAGTTATTTTTAGAAATAATTTTGAGCCTAGAATGTTGTCATTTTCATCTAGAGATGATATTGTCATTTTCATCTGCCAGATGCCTGAGGGTACTAGCAGTCTTGAATGATCTTAACCCAATTTACGTTTTGAGATTTTCTCTGTGTACGAAATGATTTAATGCTGAGCTATTAATTATAATTTTAAATCATTTATGTACATTATATATTTAGCACCATGATGTGAAAACTTCATGTAAATTATGCCTGGTTGGGTCTAGTGTTGTATAAGGGGTATTGATGTTAGAAATATTTAGGAGAAGCTGAGCCAGAAATCAGTGATTAAGAATGGCCCACATGGGGCTGGGGATTTAGCTCAGTGGTGCTGCCACTTGCCTCACAAGCGCAAGATCCCGAGTTCAGTTCCCATTATTTAAAAAAAAAGAATGGCCTACATGCCAACATTTTAAATATATGTGCTGTATTTAAGGGGAAGAAGACAGATGCAGTGAATGATCTTATTACTATGAGTTATTATCCACAATGTAATTTCTGGAATGCTAGCCCTAGTGGTAGAGTGCTTGCCCAGCATGTGTGAGGCCCTGGGTTCTATTCCAGTGCTACCAAATTTTTAAGAAGGACTTTGTGGCAAAACGCACAATATATTTTTAACATATATTTTGTGAAATTTTTAAATTTTCCAGAAGAGGGCAGCCTAACATAATAAATGCAGATCAACTTCTATAAAGCAAAATGGTTTTGAGACTTGGTTTTGTGGTATTACTAAACTTCCTTGTCTCAGTGTTAAGGTTAGGAGATGGCTGGGGATGCAGCTCAGTGGTAGAGTGACTACCTAGCATGCATAAGGGCCTAGGCTTGATTGTCAGCATCCCCAACCCCTCTGAAAAAATAAAAGAAAAGGTCAGGGAAGGATTTTAGTCTAACATTTTCATTTATCTGATTTGGAAATGAACACCCAGCTGGTAGAAATGACTTACTGTTTCATCACTCAACAACTATTGAGGGTTTATAATACTAGACATAAATTCTATGAACAAGACAGCCAAGAACTTGCTTCTGAAGGAACTTTCAGTCCATCGGTGGAGTAGAAATAGTAAAAGGTCTAAAAATAGCACAATGAAGTCAACAGGTAATATAAACAATATTGCAAGATAGTCAGACTTTTTCGCATCAACTACCAATATGAATTTTAGAGAACTTCTTAAGCAAATTTGAATTTAGTCTTTTATTTTCTTTGAAGTGTGAAGGGACAGGGTAACAAATTAAAGAAATGGAGAAAGAATTCACATGGTCTATAGTCATAATTAATACCTTATGAGTAATGTTTTGGTAAGTTATCCAACAAATAGAAAATACTTGACTATTTGAATGTAAAAAGTATCAAGAGTGACATGACAGACACTTACCCAGCTTTGTCAGTTATGTTTTGACATATTACTTAAGCTTGATTTATTTTAAGAAAAATTACTGATGTGGTTGAAACTTTCAATGAAATGTTCTTCTTTTTAATCTTGTACTTTCCCCTCCACTGAGGTAACTGTTATTTGGATTTGATCTTTATCATTTGCTTTTATTTTTTTTCTCCCCGTGTACAAGCATGTATCATTAAACATGTTTATGTGTTTTTTTTGTTTTTTTGGTTTTTTGTTTTTTCTTTTTGGTACCAGGTGTTGAACTCAGGACCTTGCGCTTCCCAGGCAGGTGTGACACCACTGAGCTAAATCCCCAGCCTCATTAAACATGTTTAACATTGTTTTGCATGGTTTTACTTTTTTTTTTGTACTGGGGATTGAACTCACGACCTTGGGCTTTCAAGGCAGGCATGGTACTACTAAGCTAAATGCCTAGCCCTGCATGTTTTACATTTAAGGATATCGCGCTAATCCTACATTTCTGTAATATGTTTCTTTCATTTAGCATTTTTCTGAGAATTCATCCAAGTTGATTATGTTGATATATGTTTTAATTTTACTTGTTATTTGGTATTGCATTTGTTATCTGAATATCTCTTTTGGTAGGTACCAATTTTTGCTATTAGAATTGCTGCAGATAATAATTATTTTACATGTTTTATTGTCTACATATGTGATTTCTCTGTGACCCAAAATAAATAAATGCACATATAACTAAAATAATACCTACCCCATTTTCAGTTGATACACTGTATGATATGGCCCAATTTATTTTATTTTATTAGAAAAAGCACTTCTCAGGGCCTGGGGATTTAGCTCAGCGGTTCGGTGGCCTGCCTCGCAAGCGCAAGGACCCAAGTTCGATCCCCGGTACCACAGAAAAAACACTTCTCATGAATCACTAAAGGGTCACAACTTGCATTTTACAAAACACTAGTTGAGGGGAATTGAAGGACCAAAGGCAGGCACATTTTCACCTTTACTAAATATTGCCAAATGTCTTTCCAAATCACTATGAATTTACCTTCCTACAAAGAGTGTACTAGAATGCCTGTTGTTTTTTATCCTCCAGATCCTCAAGATCAATTTGTATCTGTCTTTTTCATTTTTGTCCACCTGGAGGAGATGAAACAGTATCTCAGTATTGGTTTAACTTGCATTTCTCTGAGCTATAGTTTTATTTTTCCATGTGGGCAATCCACAACATAGTTTTGGTAGTCTTTTATTTTCCACCTGTATCTACTGAGACAAGAAGGTGGCTATGAACTTTACAATTTGGTTGTATTGGTTTAATTATTTATCCTTGTGTAGGTCCATCATTTTCAAATAACTGTAGCTTTATAGTGATTATTTAATATGTGGTAGGATGAGTGTTCCCCCGACCTCTAGTTCTTAATGATTTCTAAATTGTTTTGCATGCTGGGCATGAAAGCACACACCTATGATCCCAGTACTCGGGAGATTGAAGCAGGAGGATTGCTGAGAGTTTGAAGCCAGCCTGGGCTACATAGTGAGTTCAAGACCACTCTGAAAAAAAAAATTGTTCTGCTTGTTTTTGGCCATTACAGTTCTATTTTAAAATTAAGATCAGGGGCCGGGGATTTAGCTCAGTGGTTCGGTGGCCTGCCTTGCAAGTGCAAGGACCCGAGTTCAATCCCCGATACCAAAAAAAAAAGAATAAAATTAAGATCAGTTTAAATTCCACAGAAATCCTTATTAGAATTTTCATAAATTGATAAAATCCAGCAGCTTTATCCATAATAGTCTCAAACTGGAAACAACCCATGTGTCCATCAGTAAGATAATGAGTAAACATGTTGGTGTATCTTCATAATGGAATGTTACTCAGCAATAAAAAGGAACAAACTACTTTTAGATAGAGCAACATGGTTGAATCTAAAAATATTAATTTAAGTGAAAGAAGTCTTACTCAAAAGAGTATATACTATATAATTCTGTTTATTTGGAGTTCTAGAATAGGAAAGACTAACATAGAATGAAAAAAATCAAAATAGTCTCTCTGGGAGGTAAAGGTGAGAATTGTCTCGGAAAGGATATGAAATAACTCTCTGTGGCTATATCTTCAGAGAAGATTGGGTTTCATAAACATAGTGTACATTTTTAAAAAAGATGTATCAACCCAGGCATGGTACATGTGTGAAATCCCAGCACTTGGGAGGCTGAGGCAGGATTGCCTCGAGTTCGACTACATAGTGAGTTAAGGACCAGCGTGAACTACAAAGTGAGAGACCCTTTGTCCAAAAAAAAAAACGCGTGGGGGAGGAATAATCAACCTTAAACCTTAAAGAAAGGAAACTTTGCTGTACGTGACAGCATGAACGAAATTCAAGGACATTGTGATAACTGAAATAAGATAGTCAGAGACACAAATACTTCATGATTCCATATAGATGAGGTAGTTAAACTCATAAGAACAAAGACCATAGTGGCTCCTGGGGCCTAGGGAAGGAGAAATGAGTTGTTCAACAGATCGTTTCAGGCTGGGGATGTAGCTCAGTGCCAGAGCACTTGTCCTGCATGTACAAGGCCTTGTCTCAGTTTTTAGTGTGGGAAAAAAAAACTAAAACATAAACCAGATAATTTCAGTTATGTATGATAAAAAAGTTACATGTTTTTTCTGCCATTCCATAAAATAAAATACTGGAAGGAAAAATGCATCAATAAATACTATTTTTTCCCTGTCATATTTTTAATGATGGAAAGGATAAAACCATATCTTTTGAGTTATATTTAAGTTAGACTAATAAATAATACTACTAATCAACATCTAGGTTTACAGGAAAGCTTGTTTTAATTCAGCCACTTAGAATATACTTGCTGGTATAAATGAGAGTAGTTTAATTTTCATTTAAACCATTTATAGGGTTCACCATTTAGTGAAGGTAAAATGCCTTTTTAAAAAGAAAAAAAATGTCTGATATTTTGAGATGCCAGGTATCAGAGTCCAGTATTATAGTTCATTTGGGTTACCTTTCATTTATCCTTCAAAAAAATCATAGTACATTAATTTTAGAGTAAACCATCCAACTTTTATTAACATTCTCTCCTTAGAATAGGAAAGTGTTCATCACTTTTCTGCCAGAACACTTTCAACAATTTGACCTTGTGAGCAGCATCTCCATTTTTGGCACATTTCCCAGATATGCAAGAAAAGTTTTCTAGTTATGATGTTATTCTTTTAGATACCCTCTTGCAGGTATTGTTGGAGTTCCAAGAGTGAGTGATTGTATTTGAGTTTCTTTCTTTCTTTTCTTTTTTTTTTTTTTTTTTTTTTTTTGGTACCGGGGATCAAACTTGGGTCCATGCACTTGCAAGGCAGATGGCAGAACCACTGAGCTAAATCCCCGGCCCTGTGTTTGGGTTTCTTGCCTGGCAGTGTCTCGGAGTAATGGGAAGAAGGGCACAGGAATGGAAATCAATTTGAAGCCAATAGTTTATTTCAGTTTTGGCAAGCTTTCCTCTCAATGCTGCACTTGTTCCTAGCACCTCCGAGAATATTGCCATAACAGTATGGGCACGCTGGCAAAACAGAACAGCAGCATTATACAAAATTCAAGCTGGTGTGTGGTGGGGAGGTATAAGTCATATGCTTTTTTAAAAGGTTCACTGTAAATTTTATTGGTAAATCACAATATGAAACAATAGTAAAATGTACTTCTAATAGCAGAAACCATCTGTATTCACTGACAATATACTTGGAAAGAAAAGCTACCTTTTTTTATGCCTTTAATTGTTTTCTGTCTAATCTCAGCACATACTTAACTATTTCAGGTCCTGTGGGAATGGCTGCTGCGGCTGCTGTGGCAACAGGGAAGAAACGGAAACGGCCTCATGTGTTTGAGTCTAATCCATCTATCCGGAAGAGGCAGCAAACGCGGTTGCTTCGGTGAGGGCTTCCTCATCTGTAATGTTACTGTTCCTAAAATGCTTCTTATATGGGTGACAGAACATGAGTTGCTAGATTCCTTAAGAATGCCAGGTTGGAGACTTTTATGACAGAGTTAGACTCTACTCTTAAAAATTAAATAGATGAAAACCTAGAAATGTGGTTTAACAGATGTATAATATTACCTTAATTCATTTGAGGAAAATTTCTACTCCTGTTTTGTACCCAGGCATTATTCTGGCATTGGTAACATAACAGTAGTCAGCGAATTCCAGAAAAGATTATATTCTGATAAAGGAACCAAGAAAGCACATATGTCAGATGATGATAAGTATTGTGGAAAAAAATAAAGTGAAATAGGAAAACATGAAAATCAGGAAGTGAAGATACATAATAGTTTATTTATAGGGATGTTCTGGGAGATCCTTCTTGATAAGGCAGCCTTTGAACAGAGACACCTGTAGTCAGCTTTTAGTATCCTGCCCAGTGTATGACACCAGCCTGAGAAATAAGTACACTAAGAGATAGGACTAAGAGAAAAAGCAGGGTGTCAGGATGACCAGTGCTGGTACAACCAACAAAGGCTCTGGCCAATCCCAGGCACTGACTTTTATTGGCAATTAATTGAGGTAAAGGCAAGCTACATGCAGTTTCTGTGGAAATTAATGTGAATAAGGCTTATAAAGGACAAGCAATGCATTCTCAAATTAGGAATAAAATAGACAAAATATATGGTTGTAATTAGAACATTGTCCTTCTAATCAGAAGGTTTTTAGTTGTGAGAATGGAATTTGGACACGAGTTACTCAGACCTCAGCACATAGGCTTCAGCCAGATTCAGTTTTATAAACAAGCCAATTGTGGGGTTGATACTTCACAGCCTGCTTTGGGCATAATCAATATTATGGTATTATGGTCCTCTGCATCTCCCACTTCTTTGGAAATGGCAGCTGCATCAGAGTGAGCTGTGATTGTCTTTGGGGCCTGTTTGCTTCTGGGTCTCATCTTCAGGCAGTGTATCAGGTCTGGTGATCTTCGCAGGTCCCAGAGTGTCACAGGCGAAGGGAGTTACTCAGTTGCAGCCTTTGAATGGCTTTTAGCAGGAGTGTCACATGCTGCTTGCAGCTAATCTATCATCTTGGTCCGTGGTGGTTTGTTTTGGGATGATGGCCACAGCATCTTTTTATTTTTTGTTGAAAAATAAGTATATCCTAGCCCATATGTTATTAATTGTATTGAGCCATTTACCTTTTAGTTAGGAGATATTTTGACAACACTAGTGTCTAGGACATGTCTGTAGATCTATCTTTGTATCAGTGGAGTTTCAATGAAGTATATTTACCTTTCATAAGTGGATTTTAAAAATTTAAAATGAAAGTAACAAGAGAAAGTAACAAAATCTAGTTGAGGACCAGGGATTTAGCTCAGTGGTGCACTCCTGCCTCATAAGCGCAAAGTTTAGAGTTTGATCCCTGGTACCCCCCTCCCCACAAAAAAATCACCATGTAACAAAATTTAATTGAGCTTGTGGAGTAGCTGTACCCCCACCACCACCTTTTTGTTTATGTACTGTATTTTTAGGGAAAGGTGATTAGGTCCAACAATGGCTTGGCCCTGTAGGTCATAAGGACCTATGTTTAACTGACTTACCTGTGTATAATAACTTAGGTGCCAATAATAATAATAACTGACAGCTGTCATTAATAATTTTTCCCTGCTGGATTTTGGACTTGCTTTGGTCCCACTCCTTTCTGTCCTCTATTTGGAGTGGGAATGTTAATCTTGTGCCCATTGTATGTTGGCAAGTCTTTAACTTTCTTTTCATTTGTACAGGGGCTCCCAGCTAAGAGTTTGCCCTAGATCTTACAGGAGACATTTAGGCTTGGACTTTTCAGCAGTGCTGAAATTGTTAGGACTTTGGCAACTCTTGGAGATGAACTAAATGCCTATTGCCTGAAGAGATGTGCATGAGTCTTTGAGTGGGCAGGGGCAGAATGTCATGGCTTGTGTCTAGATGTCTCCCCAAAGTTTTCTGTAGTCATAGGTGGGGTTTTTCAGAGGTGACTGGATCTATAACGTATGATGTTAGGAATAAGGGCATTTGATTATTAAATTAGTCCACTGATTGGTTTGGCATAGTTCTGTGTACAGACAGTGGGAAGGCCCACTGTAGCTGTGAGTGCTGCTGGCCCCTAAGGGTATGTAGCATGGATAAACTATAAAGGACTGAAAGAGGGCTACTGTTGTGGCTTTCTGTTTCTTTCGCTGCTTTGCTGCCTTCTCCCTGCCTTGCTTTGTCTTGGACTGTTCTCCTCTCTGATGCCTCTTCCAGGCCGCCCGGCCTTGGAGCTAGCCAACTATGCCCTGAAACCTCTCCAAACTATTGATCTGAATAAACCTTTCCTACTTTAACTTTGGATATTGGGTATTTTTGAAAAATAACAGTCACAACAATCATATGAGTGTCTAGGGGAAGAGCTTTGCAGGTAGTGAGAACATTAAAAGCCCAATCTCTGCGGCAGAAATATGGTAGTCACATTAAAGAGATGTTGTAGTTGGTATCTGAAAAAGAAACATTTAATGCAAGACATCAAAATTTACAAGGTTAGCTGATAATATCTGTCCACGGAGTCAAATGTAGAAGAATGCAAGAGATCTGTCTATTTACCAGAGACCCAAAGAATCCAGCCAAAGGCCTGGAGGCCACAGCAATGTCTCATAGGAGTCCGTATCAGGAGGCCAAAGAATCTGCAATGCAATACTGAAGGGTCTGCACCAGAAAGTCCAAGGGCTGATGCTGGAGGGGGAAGTCTGCACTTGCAGACTGCAAATCTGGTGCTAGAAACTGAAGAATCTGTTCTCAAAGCCAAGAGACAACGTCTGAGGTAAAAGCAAAGACCAGAGCTCCTACAAAGAGAACAGCAGCTCTCCTTGGAGATAATGAGGACCAGAACTCCTCTGAAAAAGAAAATAGTCAAAGCTCTTCCAAGGAAAATCATCTGAAATCCTTTCCTTCCCATTCTTCTTTTACACTATTCTGACAACAATCCTCCTTAGGTGGGTCTTCCACATCCAGAACCATGCTGACTCACTTCAGCTGGGCGTTCACCACTGAAGTTGACAATTAGTTAACCACCACAAGAGAGCATGAGAAAAGATGTGGTCAGAACAGTTGGGGAAAGCCACATCAATCAGTTCTGTCCTCTGATGTCGGAGGTCTGACTCTTGCTCCGAGTAAGGTAGGAAGAAAGTGAATGCTTTTGACCAGAGTGATGATATAATCTGACATAAATGTTTAAAGAATCACTCGGGCTGGGGATGTAGCTCAGTGGTGGAGCTCTTGCCTAGCATGCACAAAGTGCTGGGCTCCATCTCAGCAGTATAAGAAAAAATAAAATGAGTCACTCAGGCTATCGAATTGAAAATAGACTCTGGGTATACAAGAATGGAAACAGGTAGAGAGAAATCAGATCGTGATAGTTCTTTGGGCCAGAAAATGAATATTTTAAAACCAGTTGATAACAACAGTGATAGTAAGAAGTGGTCAGATTCTGGATTTATTTCAGAAGTCAGTTCTGTGATGGATTGGATGTGGGGTGTGAGAAGAAAAAGGAATGAGGAGTAATGTTGAGGTTTTTGATCAAATTACTAGTAGGATAGAGATGGTATTTGCTAGAGAAACAGCAGGTATAAGAGGGAGGGTAGGAACAGATTTGGGACCTTATTTTGGGATGTTTTAAGTTTGTAATGCCTCTTACCCGTTAAGTGGCGATGTAGAATAAGCAGCTGAATATATGAGTCTGGAAGTCAAAAGATAATTCTTGGCTGAGACTATTATAAGAATATAGGTCATATAGCTAGTATTTAAAACTATGAGACTAGGTAAATTTACTTAGGGAGTAATGTGTAGACCTGAACAACTCCATCCTTTTAAAGTTGGAGAGATAAAAGAAACCGGCAAAAGAATCTCAGAAGCAACCAGTGAGTCTGGAGAAGAAGCAAGAGTGTTATGCTGGAAAACAAGGGCAAAAAGTGTTTCAAGGAGGGTATGTAATCAACCCTGTCAAATGTTGCCTACAGCTTGAACAAGGTACAAATTGACCATTAGATTTAGCGACATGAAAGTCGTGATTAAACTTGACAAGTAAAAGGATTGCAATGTCTTTAATAGAGAATCAACAAAAGGAATTAGAGAAAATAAATTTGAACAATTCCTTCAAAGAATGCTGCAGATTTCTTGTTTGGTACATGGCCCCTTGCCTACCACTACTTTTAAGGTGTAGACTATATTCCCAGAAAAATTATGAAATGTAAAACTTCAGGATAATCTTTTGTGATGGAGAGGAAAAGAACAGTGTTTCTGTTCCATGTATTGTTGCTATGTAGTAATCTCTTATATGTGAGTTTTCTTTCTGTGGTTTTATTTAGCTGTGGTCAAACATAGTCTGAAAAGATTAAGTGCAAAATTCCAGGATAAATACTTCATAACTTGTAAATAACCTCCTATAGTATGTTATAATTGTCCTATTTTATTAGTTATTGTTAATCTCTTATTGTACCTAGTTTATAAATACAACTTTATCAGCAGAGGAAAAATATATTTTGTGTTTGTGTGTGTGTGTGTGTGTGTGTGTGTGTGTGTGTGTGTGTGTTTGGTGTATATGTTTATGTTTTGGTATCCGGTGGGGGGGGTGGGACATGTTTTTCACAGATAAGAGAGATTGCTATGTTTGTCAAAGCTCTTCTCATTCTATCCTCATTAGTAGAATTATTGTTTATATCACAATGAAAATCTGAAAGCACAATGTTTTTAGAGTATTATTTTTCATTAAATTGTTAGTGAAAAATAAACATATCAATCAGATTATGTCAGACTATATCAGTAAACGAAGTTAGAAGCAAGTCATTTGAGCCCTTCATAATTATAGAGATGATATAATGAAGTCCGTGAGAGGACATTTTAGCAGGAATCCTCATTATGTACTGGCGGTTCTTCTTGGTAAGATCAGGAAGGATGATACTTGCCATATTCAAAATCATCACTGCTGCATCCCCAGGCAAAACCACCGGAGACTCTCATGTGAGAGGGCTAGATGTTGGTCTTTAAGAGAAGTGTGCACATACTTCTGCTGAAGAGGACATCACACTTCAACACATTCCTTTTCATGTCTAGGGCAAAACTGTGCATATCTGATTAGGATTAATTATCTCAAGCTAATGGAAGTTTAACGTATGTCTCTTTCACTAAAATGTCTGTCTACTTTGTTTTATTTTCTCCATTCTGATTCAGGAAACTTCGAGCTACATTAGATGAATATACTACTCGAGTGGGACAGCAAGCTATTGTCCTCTGTATCTCACCCTCCAAACCCAACCCTGTCTTCAAGGTGTTTGGTGCAGCACCTTTGGAGAATGTGGTAAGTTAGAACAAAGCTGTGTTCTAAATTGCCTTTTACTCCATGGGAGTTATTGTTGGTCCTCTTTCCACTTTAGTAGGTAGTGCTTCTCTCCTTCCCTCATCCAAGGATGGAAGATGGGGACTGACTGGTCTTCAAAGCAGTTAATGCAGATAAAAACAAAATATCATTACTATAATGTATTTTACTTAACCAGATACAATGGGAAGAAAGATAATGTTTTTGTCTGTTGAGAAAGCAATGCAAGATTTTGTAAGAAAATTACTCATTTATGTTCAAAGCAAAATGCTATATCATTTCTAGGTGTTCACTTAATAAATATGAAATATAGGCATGTCTTCTTTTCTAAAACAGTGCTGTGCCAGGTGTGGTGGTGCACTCCTGAAATCCCAGCACTCAGGAGGCTGAGGAAGTATTGCCGTGAGTTTGAGGCCACCCTGGGCTCCATAGAGAGTTCAACGCTTGTCTGAAATATATAGCTAGACCTTGCCTCAAAAAAATAAACACAATAAAAAACGTGCTTCTACCAATAAGAATGATAATATGATCCATGAAAGACTCAATTAGAAGACCCAAATACCTCTGAAAATTACTGCTGAAAAATACAAAAGAAAGTTTTGAGAAACTGCTGATTTCCTTCATATAGTGAAGACACTTCTATGATAAGAATAAACTACTAAGATAAAAGCAGTATATATTTTACCATTGACTGATACTTGATAAAGCTAGGTTAAAAATTCAAATACCAGAAAAAGTAGAAGCAGAACCTCTCTTCTAGAACACTAAAGAAAAAAAGAAAGAAAACCTCCACAAAGTCTTTATACAAAAGATAAAGAACAGGCTGGGGATTTAGCTCAGTGGCACTGCACCTGCCTCTCAAGCACAAGGTCCTGAGTTCATTCCCTGGTACTGAAAAAAAAAAAAGATAAAGAACAACAGAAGGAATTAACATACACCCACAGTCATAAAATATAAAACACTGTAATACAAGTGATGCCAGGTATGGTGTCACAAACCTGTAATCCCAGCACTTGGGAGGCTGAGGCAGAAGGATCTCTGTGAGTTTGAGGCCAGCCTGAACTACATAGCAAGACCCTGTCTCAAATTCAGAAATAAATAAAAGTACAAGTGAGGCCAATTAATTACTTTTAAGCCAGGTGTGGTGGCTCATACTAGCACTCTTGAGAGGCTGAGGCAGGAAGATCAGATATTCAAGCCCAGCCTGGGTGACTTTGCCTCCAAAACAAAAGATTAGGGATTAAAAGCCTAGGTTTAATCCCCAGTCCCCCCATTCTGTTGTGAACTATAATTATGAATAGTTTAAGCTATTTTGTTAAATCAGAGATTTTCTTTCAGATTGGAATATTAGCCCAAATCAAAACATAATTATTCAATTTGTATGATATGCACAAATGTTAAAATAGCTGCAAATGATGTCACCAGGAAAGGAAAAAGCAACCCACAGAATGGGAGAGAATACTTGCAGATTATATAGCTAATAAAAAAATTATATAAGAACTCTTACACAAGCTGGGCATTATACACACACCTGCAAACCCAGCTCTCGGGAGACTGAGGCAGGAGGATTACCATGAGTTTGAGGCCAGTCTTGGCTACATAGTGAGTTCAGGGCCAGCCTGAACTACAGAGGGAGACCCTGCCTCAAAAAACAAAACAAAACAAAAAAAGAACTCTTACAACTCAACCCAATTTAAAATGGGCAAAGATTTGACCATTTCTCCAAAGAAGTTATAGAAGTGACTAAAAAGAAAATGAGTACTCTATAGTCTTTGTCATTAATTACTATTAGTCATTTATCATTGATAATCAGGCTTTTTTTTTCATTTTTCTAATGACAAATAATGATAAAGGATCATTAGTTATTAAGGAAATGAAAATTGTAACTACAGTGAGAATACTTCACACCTGCTAGAATAACAGCCCCACTCTTCATACCAAAATCTGTCTTACTTTCTCTTTGCTGGAATACAGTATGCAAAACACACAGCATAAAGGAGGTTTGTTTTGGCTCCCAGTTTATAAAAGTTTCAGTCCATGGTCGGCTCGCTACCAGGCAGGGTGGCACAACAGAGGGGAAATTGCTCATAGTGTGGCTGCGGAAGCAGAGAGGGTGACAGGAAGAGTGTGAGAGAGCCAACCAGATGGGGCAGTGTGACCCTTGCCATGGTAAATACATGGCCTGCTGCCTGTTATACTGTAGTGACGTGGTCCCCAAAGATGTCAGTGCTGCCATTGCCACCAAGACCAAGTGGACCATCCAGTTTGTGGACTGGTGTCCCACTGGCTTCAAAGTTGGCATTAATTACCAGCCTCACACTGTGGTGCCTGGTGGAGACATGGCTGAGGTACAGCGGGCTGTGTGCATGCTGAGCTACACCACAGCCATTGCGGAGGCCTGGGCTCACCTGGTCCACAAGTTTGATCTGATGTATGCCAAGTGTACCTTTGTTCACTGGTACGTGGGTGTGGGGATGGAGGAAGAAGAGTTTTCTGAGGCCTGGGAGGACATGGCTGCCCTAGAGAAGGATTATGAGGAGGTTGGAGCAGATAGTGCTGAGGGAGAGGATGAGGGTGAAGAGCATTACTCTGTCTGCTGCAATTTTACACTTCATTGTCTCATCTTACACATTATTTTTATGTTCTGTGAAATTAAGTCCTACACTGTCAATAAAAATGTTTGAATTTTACATTTTTTTTAAAAGGCCACACCCTGGTGACCTCTTCCAACCATGCATCGCCTCCCAAGTCACAGTTAGCTGTGAACTCATTAGCAAGCAGACTGATCCACTGCTGAGTATTTTCTCCCCATGATCTCACTCCCCAGAGCACACCTATGAGGCATGAGGCTTGCTGGGACATCTAGATATAAACTTTAACGGTGAGGATGTGAAGAACAGTTATACATTGCTGTTAAGAATGTAAAATAGTGTAGTTCTTTTGGAAAATAGTTCAACAATTTCATGGAATGTTAAAAGTAGAGTTATCTTTTGAGACTAGCAATTTTACTCCTAAGCCATACTCAAGAGAACTCAAGACCTGTTTGCACATACACTTGCACAGAGCAAGATTAGTCATAATAGCCAAAAAGTGTTAACAACCCAAATATCTGTCAATGGATAAATTAGTAAAGTGTGGTATAGTTATACTGTGGGCTTATTCAGAAAAAAAAATGAAATACGGATATATACTATATCATAGATGAACTTTGAAGTCATGCTGTGTGAAAGAACCTAGTCACGTATTTCCTCAGCTCTGCAAAAATAAATAAGGACCATATATTATGATAACATTTAGATGCATTTTAGCAAATTTATATATAAAACAGATTCCTAGTTGCTAGGAGTTTGGGAAGCAGGAGGAAGGAATGAGTGACAGTGAGAGGATACAGAGTTTGTTTTTGTGGGGAAAAATGTTCTAAAGTTAGATTGTGGGGACTGGGGATGTAGCTCAGGTAAGTGCCTGCCTGGCAAGCATGAGGTCTTGAGTTCGATTCCTGGTACCAAAAAAAATTAGATTGTGATGATAGCTATAGGACTCTGATATACTGAATTGTACACTTTTAAGTGAGTGAATTATATAGTATTATATAGTATACAGAGCATTTAGCAAGTGACTATAAACAAAATTAAAAGGTTCACAACAAACTGAATAAAATTTCAAAATAACAGTAACTATAATTTATTCAGTGTTTATAATACATCTATTTATGTTAAGCACTTCAACTGTATGATTTTTGTTTAATCATCCTGATAACCCTATGTTGTGTATATCTGTTTCTTACCTGTGCTTTATACACACGGGAATTGAGAGTTTGATACCTTAAGTATTTTGGACAAGATCGCATGGTTGCTAAATAGTAAGCTAATGATTAATATTCTTAATATATAAAGACCTCTCAAAAATCAGTAAAGTATATGAACAGTTGAGTAACAAGACCCAAAGATACAGATTTGAATATGGATTAAATTTTATATAATGTTAAGAAATTATTTTTGTAAGATGCAAGCATCGTATTATAGTTCTATATAAGACTCACTTTCCCGAGGTACATGCTGAAGTACTGAGAAATGTTGCAATGTTTATAAATTATACTTTACATGTTAAACATTGTATACAAAAATATATGAGTATATGACAGATAAATCAAAATGTTTTCAGTTACAGAATATAATTAGTTGGAGATAGAAAAGCTTTTCTTTTTACTGTTCTTTCTACTTCTATACTTGCAAATTGTCATTTAGAAATTTTTCTTGAAAACACAAGGGGTAAGGGCCAGGGATTTAGCTCGGCCATTCTTATGCCTGCTTCACAAGCTGAAGGTCCCAAGTTCGATCCCCGATACCAAAAAGAGGTGGGGGTGCTGGAGGGACATAAAAGGGAAAATATAAATGACTAGAAAAAATTTTTAAATGTAAGTTAAAACAAAAAAACTGTCTTTCATGGCTCATGTTGACAAACACAGAAGAGATCTATAGCCTGCAGTATTGGCATGCCAGACAATTTAAATTGGTATAGTTTTCTAGAGGGCAGGTTGATAACTGCTATTTTGAAAAGTGCCCAAGCTGAGTATGGTGGCGGTACACACCTGTTATCTCAGCAGCCTGGGAAGCTGAGGCAGGAGAATTGCAAGTTCAAACCCAGACTAGGCAACTCAGTGGCTTAATGAGACTTTGTCTCAGAGTAAAAATGCAAGAAGGGCTGAGCATGCAATTCATTATCCAGTACCACGGAGGAAGGAAAAAATCCCAAAATTACACTTTTTACCTACTTTGGTAGATGGGGTTAGCCTAATGAAATAATCAGTTGAGTAAAGATATATATGCAGAGATATTAGTCTGTGCTTTGTGTGTATGTTGCTGAGAATTGAACCTAGGACCTTCACACTGAGCTACATCCCAAGCCCTTTAAAAAGATTTTTTAAAATATATTTTTGAGCCAGGTGTGGTGGTGCATACCTGTAATCCCAGCACTTGGGAGGCTGAGACAAGAGGATGCCAAAAGTTCAAGGCCAGCCTGAACTACATAGCCAAACTCTGCATTAAAAAAATATACATTTATTTATTTATTTATTTATTTATTTGTTTATTTATTTGTTTATTTATTTGTTTATTTATTTATTTATTTATTTATTTATTCAGGGTCTCACCAAGTTGCTTAGGCTGATTTTGAACTGGGGATCCTGTGCCTTGGCCTCCTAGAGTACACAGTGCTATTATACCTACTTTTAGATGGGTTAGCCTAATGAAATAATCAGTTGAGTAAAGATATATATGCAGAGATATTAGTCTGTGCTTTGTGTGTATGTTGCTGAGAATTGAACCTAGGACCTTCACACTGAGCTACATCCCAAGCCCTTTAAAAAGATTTTTTAAAATATATTTTTGAGCCAGGTGTGGTGGTGCATACCTGTAATCCCAGCACTTGGGAGGCTGAGACAAGAGGATGCCAAAAGTTCAAGGCCAGCCTGAACTACATAGCCAAACTCTGCATTAAAAAAATATACATTTATTTATTTATTTATTTATTTATTTGTTTATTTATTTGTTTATTTATTTGTTTATTTATTTATTTATTTATTTATTTATTCAGGGTCTCACCAAGTTGCTTAGGCTGATTTTGAACTGGGGATCCTGTGCCTTGGCCTCCTAGAGTACACAGTGCTATTTTGTTTTGTTTTTGTTTTTGTTTTTGTTTTGCATTGTGGCATTTTTTTGAAAATTTAAGAATAACCTGAAATTTCAAAGATAAAGGATTGGTCCAGTAAACATGATAATATAGATCTTTTAGTTGACATGTTCAGATGATAATGACGATATATTAATTAGAAAAAGCAGGTTGTAGAATTTGATCCTACTTGAAAAGTAAATCTGCATAGTATATGTGTTCATGGAATTGTTGAATTCAGAGGATTCTTGTAACTAACACTTGTATAGTATAGCAATTTTTTTAAGACTTTGAATTATACATATTCTCAATAATTATGATAATAACCCTGAGAGGTAAAGTTTATTATCATTTTGCAAACAAGAATATTAGCTCAGAGAGGTTAAGTGATTTGCCTTAGAGCCATGTAGAAAAAGTTTTTTCTGTCTATAGATATTGAAAATATAAATAATGCAAACTAGACATTCAAAATACTTCCAAAAAGATTGTTACTGGAAGAGCCCAAGAAATAGAAAAATCTTTTCCTTAACTTTTTTCCTCCTCCCTCCAAGTCAAATTTGTTCTGAGTGTCCATCTTGTTTTCCCACTTCAGTCATACAAGGCAGAAACTTGAAACTATTTTAGGTTACCCCACCACCACCCTAGAGCCCATCCATCATTTTGTTTTCTGTTCATCTTTTTTATCTTTTTTGTTTTTTTGGTACTGAGGATTAAACTTGGGACCTTGTGCTTGTGAAGCAGGTGGCGGAACCACTGAGCTAAATCCCCAGCCCCCTCTTTTTTGTTTTGTTTTTTTTGTTTTTTTTGTTTTTTTTGAGGCAAGGTCTCACTGCGTACTTAGCCCAGGTGGGCCTTGAACTCGTGGCAGTCCTCCTGCCTCAGCCTCTCAAGCACTGGGATTATAGGTGTGCACCCTCATGCCCAGATGTTCATCTTTCATATAGCTCTCAAATCAGCTACTTTTCTCCACTTCCATCGCAGGACCAAAGCCACTAGATCTGGGCTCCATTCCATTTCCTTGTCAGTGCAAGAATCCTTTCTGTGACTCCAGTGGTTCCCAGCTCAGCTCCCAATGCACCTGCTGTTTCTCCCTCCACACGACTCTGGGTGTACGTTTCTCCCTCTGGGGTGCTCTCTGTTAGCTCCCATCTTGCCTTCCTGACTTATTCCTATTTAAGAACTCAGCTCAGGTGAACCTTCCTTGGTGAAGTTTTCTCTGGCATCCCTGAGGTCAGGGCACACAATGCCTCTGAGTGCTTAGTACGACACTGAGGCACCTTCATTGTTTGTGTGGCTATTTTAACCGTGTCTGTCTCCAGCTGGATTGGAATCTCCAAGAGGCAGGGCCTCACTCTGCTTTGCTCTTTATCGTACTTCCACCTCCCAGTACCCGCCACTGGGCTTCCGTTGAGTAGTTTCTTGTAATGTTTGGCAGCACTTAGGAATTTTAAAATGTACATTTGGTTTCCAAATCTCAACCCTACATTAGGTCTAAATTGAGACTTTGAAAAGTAAAGATCTATGAAGTTAGATTATGCAAGAGTATGTATGTATTGCCATTCAGTAAATCCAGGGCCTTCATACTGAACTATATTCCCAACTTTGTTTGTTTGTTTGTTTTTGTTTTTTGAGACAGGGTCTTGCTATGTAGCCCATCCTAGACTCCATCTCTGATCCTCCTGCCCCAGCCTCCTGAGTGCTGGGATTACAGGTGTGCACCACGATTGGCTGGTTATGTCATCTTTTATAGAACTCTTCCCAATTTGTAATAGGTACTTATCTTTGTAGCTGTTTTTTGTACACATTTTTTCTTTTTAATTATTTTTAAATTTATCTTCCCTATAGATATGTGGGATAGTGAAAAAATTAGTCAGAACTAGGTTCACTCTTAGAAAGCTTGTACTGTGATGAATAATGAAAATTCCTTACCCAGAAATTCAGGGTTTCTTGGGCTCCACTGCCTTTAAATCTGATGTCCTTTGTTAGCTGGACATGGTGCTGTATGCATCTAATTTCAGCACTGGAGAGGCTGAGGCAGGAGCTCATGAGTTCAAGGACAGCCTGGGCTA